CAGCTGGATCCATGTCCAGTTGGTGTCTAGTTGTGTAGATCTAACGAAAGTCAAATGCACCCCTAAGCTGCGGTGCACTGCTGAGCAATCAATACAAATAAACACTCCATATGTTACGGTTGCCCATGTTGGGTTCTTTGCATCACAATCAAAGCATGTCTGAAAGAGAGATAAAAGGTATCTGTTGAGACTGATACAAAACACTTAACATGTAAAACATCAAAATCATAAAAATCTATCAGCTAAAAAAAAGAATCCTTATAAAGAATGATAACAAATATCCAGCCAAACAAATATTTCAAAGTATAAATAAATGAAACTAAACACCCTCAGCTCTAAATATCTAAATACTTCAAACTATGAATCTTTATGTAGTGGATAAAAAGCTTCTATACCCCAATATATCATAAAATTTAAAATGGAGAAATAATTAACATGTTCCCTCTCAGACTCTACATCAAAATTTCATATCATAATGTTATAACCGTAATTCTTTACAGCATAGATGAACACCCCAAAGACTAAGTACCTAACTCCACATCAAAAAAGGTATTCACGAAACTAAGTTGCCGTGACTGGGCCTGCCCAAGGGGAGGGTTAATGGGGGGCTCTGCCCCTATCGCTTTCTGCGATCTTTTTCCTTTATTTGTGGCATTACCATTCATGTCTGCATATTATTCCTTGTACTGACAACTGTGACTTTTTGTCCTCTGAAGGAATATCATATTCAAATTGCCGTATCTTATTGCCTCTATATCATAAAGATTAACCGTCTTTAACTATTGTGCTTCCCTCTACTGTCCAATTTCTCATGCAACTTGCACACTTTACCATATCTAAAACTTTAAACTTTCTTTCTCTAATTACATTTTTAAAAATCTTTCAAATTACAAGCACTAACTCGGTAAATATCCCTCACAACCTGAGAAAAAGCAATGAAAGGAAAAAGATCAGAAAATTTATTGGAAGTCTTTCACTTTAATATCTACTGTTGCACAAATTTAAGAGGGCCACCATGCTCAGGAACAAAATTTGTCAATTATGATCGGATTTTTGTATTTTTAAAATATGTTATATATACATATACTGTGATTTACACCACAAGGTTTCCTATAATTTGGATGATAAATACTGAAGTAATTAAAAAATATAGTTTTTGAAAAATCACAAAATTTTATTTTTGCACTTAACCATAAACCGAACTTGTTGAAAAAATACCCCATACTTAATAAATAACATCTCCTTTATTTTTATGTAATTAACAGAAATATTGCATCACGAGATTGCCAAAGCCTACTAGATAACAGGAGATTTTATTTCAATTTACCAATTATTTTTTAAGATATTCATTAAAAATTCAGCATGACGGACCCCTTAATCACTTTTGTATTCACATGTATATAAATCTTCATTTCTCTTCCAAACATTCTCATTCATCAGTGTTTGGTTATTTCACAGTGTATTTTCGTGTATGTATATCTTATCTGACTCTTAAGCATAATAACGTATAAGGAATGTCATTCCATTATCAGTATCATTCCAACATCCTTATGGGAAGGATTATCACCCTTGTGGTGAGTTCTGGAGCTAACATATCACTGATAAACAATATATCCAAATCAAAATTAATATTATATTCATTCTATTACATTAACATACATGAAACATTCAGAAACTTTTCTGTGAAGGATGTTATACACAAAACAAAATTCTAAGATTATGACATTTTTATCTATCTTTCGGATTCCTCTTAATAAATACTTAAAGCAATTTATGTCAATTTATTTGAGAAAAACAACAAACAAAACATACTCAAATTTTCCTATAACATTCTTTCAACAAAAGTTATTTGATAAGTGTCCCTTTATACCTACAACCCTTATAAAATACAACTTATAACTCAGTAATTATAAAATGAAAAGTCTTCCCACGAAACCTGGACAATTCAAAATAAAATTACGATACTTCACGCCGAGAAAAAATGACAAACTTTATCGAAAATGACAATCAAGAAATCTGGAATTCTCACACTTACACGTCATTTGCTGTTTGATTTTGAGAACAACAGATAGCCAAAGAAACAATTATCACCAAAGACACACCGATCACAAATCATCCGAAATGCTACCCGTACTCTGTAAATAAGGAATCCGGGGAAATTACATCGCTTTTGAACACCTCAGACAAGACCAGGGACTCGCAAAAGAGACCATCATGACACCCTGTTCTCGGCCATCAAAACCATCCCCTTCCTTCCCACGCCCTCCAATCCTCCTCCATTATCCCCGACACCCTTCCCCACCATCACCTTATTCGTGGGGATGGCTCGGAGTCGCTTAAAAACGCCCTCGATATCTTGTTTGCTGGGACTTTCCTCTGCCATCTTGACTGACGTGTTGTTTTCGAGGTGTTTACGTCAGCGAGACCTAGTTCCTCCGGCGGCTCATAGAGGGCAGCACTCAAGACTCTGCGCCCCCTCCCCCTCCTTACCTTTCCTCCTCCACCTCCTCCTCCTCCCCTATGATCTACCTATGATTTCGCCTATCCCCGCCCTTCCCCTCCCTACCTATGATTTCCCTTTCCCCGCCTTTGCCTTTCCCCCATTCTTCCCTTCCCCTCCTTACCTATGATTTTCCCTTTCAACGCCCTTGCCTTCCCCCACCATCTCTCCCCTTCCCTTCCATATATGATTTCCCCTTCTCTTCCCTCCCCCTCCCTGCTTATGATTTCCCCTTCCCCGCCTTTGCCCTCTCCCCACCTTCTCTCCCCTTTCCCCTCCCTACCTATGATTTCCCCCTACCCCACCTTTGCCTCTCCCCACCTTCTCTTCCCTCCCCCTCCCTACCTATGATTTCCCTTTCAACGCCCTTGCCTTTCCCCACCTTCTCTTCCCTCCCCCTCCCTACCTATGATTTCCCTTTTCAACGCCCTTGCCTTCCCCACCATCTATCCCCTTCCCCTCCATATCTATGATTTCCCCTTCTCTTCCCTCCCCCTCCCTACCTTATGATTTCCCCTTCCCCGCCTTTGCCTACCCCACCTTCTCTCCGTTCCCCTCCCTACCTATGATTTCCCTTTCCCACCTTTAATTTCCCTTCCCCGCCTTGCCCTCCCCCACACATCCCCTGACCTTCTCTCCCCCTCTCTACTTATGATTTCCCTTTCCCGCCTTTGCCCTCCCCCACCTTCTCTTTTCCCCCTCCCTACCTATGATTTCCCCTTCCCCGCCTTCGCCTCCCCCACACATCTGTCCCCCACCTTCCCCCCTCCCCTCCCTACCTATGATTTCCCCTTCTCCGCCTTTGCCCCTGTCCCCCACCTTCTCTTCCCCCTCTACTTATGATTTCCCTCTCCCCGCCTTGCCCTCCCCCAATCTCCTTCTCCCTCCCTACCTCTGATTTCCCCTTCCCCGCCTTTGCCCTCCCCACACATCCCCTGTCCCCCACCTTCCCCCTCCCTCCCCTACCTATGATTTCCCCTTCCCCGCCTTTGCCCTCCCCCACACATCCCTTGTACCCCACCTTCCCTCCCCCTCCCTACTACTATGATTTCCCCTTCCCCGCCTTTGCCCTCCCCCACACATCCACTGTCCCCCACCTTCCCCCCTCCCCTCCTTACCTATGATTTCCTCTTCCCCGCCTTTACCCTCTCCCTACCTTCTCTTCCTTCCCCCTCCCTTGCCTCGCCCTAGCCCTCCCCTATGCGTCTCCTACTCTCCCTCACCTTCCTTTCCCTCCCCCTTCCAACCTATGCCCTCCCCTACCACGCCATGGGCTTCCCCCACCCGTCTCCTACCCTCCCCCTTCCTCCTCCCCTCCCTCTCCCCACGTATGCCCTCCACCACCCGTCCCCTGCCCTCCCACACCTTCAGAACGTGTGTGAAATACATTATGAATGGCATTAATAAATCTTCTGGTTAGCTCTATGGATATGGATGGGTTTCGGGGTTGATGTCCGTTGTATATATTACCGATTTGATATGGAAAGGGGGTAGCGTTTAGGAGTAAATCTGAGCAGTTAAATATTATTATCATTTAATGAATGATGATAATGATGATTATTGATGATGATGATGATGATGATGATGATGATGGTGTGATGATATGATGATGATATGATGATTACTATACTATTATCATTATATTATTATCTACTACGATCGATAAACATGACTATACAGAATAGATTTCATGCACTGGCATAATCCGCATTATAGTCAACTCTACGCCTTCAAACTTGGCAATTATTAATGGCTGTACGCTATACTTTTACACATACCGCAGTCATGTGATGTTTGTAATCTCACGTGCAAGGTCAACTACCTTGCTCACGCTTCTTTGCAAACGTTGACATATCAATATTAATGGACACTGATACGCTATACTTTTTGCACACATTATTGGAACCAGATGAATATATCGTCTTTGTATATTATTTATTTTTATGGAGTCATGTGATGTTTGTAATCTCACGTGCAAGGTCTATATAAGTACTTTATGTACCTTGCTCACTTGTAGGTCTACTCACAAATACATTCACACTTCTACGATTGCTTTATTAACGTGGATGACAATAAAAGGAGAATTGATAAGATATCAATGAAGAATGGTAATAGAAGTGGAGATACTGACACTGATACTGATTAACTGTAATTAAATTTCAAAGAGTTTGATGTTGCTTCGGCATTTCTAGTACAAAGAGTCACACCACGTGCATTGCAGAAGGTACGTTACATTAGTTTGACAAAACTTATAAGAACCGTTTTTTAGGCATTGTCCCGTGATTCTCCTGCAGGTAATAAGGGTGTTGTGCGTTTTGAACACACACAATTGTTTTAAATACTAATTCTTGCATGACTGCCACGTGAAACAGCAAATATTAATTATATTTTTGTGATATCAGAATATTTTTTATTGATTTCATCAGGTTTTGTTGATTGCATCACGTTTATTGAACAATGTTGATAATGTCAATTAGAAAAACGTAAAAAAGTAAATCAAAATGCTTAGGTGGGGCAGCATATGGTCCGCAGGCTTTATGGAGTGAATTATTCATGTGTCACAGCTTCGTGTGCGTCAGAAGGCTTAAGTTTTTCATAGATAGTCACAGCCCAAGACATTCTGATTTTGGAAACAAAGGTGGGCTTCTTATGGAATATGACTTTGAGCTTTTGTTATTTACATATTTATATTTTATGATTATTATCTTGCTCATAGTGAAATCAATGATGAGTTGTCACATCAAATGCAATATAGGAATACATGTAAAGTAAGAAAAATTAACAGCTATTTTCAAAGCCTAATTTATATGCTGTGTGATGGGCAGTTTTTTAATACAAGGAACTCAAGCAGATAGACCTTGTAATTCTCTTTTCAAGAAGCCATTTTCATGTAAAAAGGAAGTTTTATCCTCTGTGGTATAGTATAGGGGGCACCTTTCTAGGGGGGCTTCCAAACGAGCTATACAAACACTGCTAAGTGGAAACTTTCTTCCCATATTCTATTTTGTGGAGTTGCTAGAGGGAAGAGAATTAGGGCTTAGTCCCAGGTTGACCCTCTTCAGTTGTGCGTCAACTCGTTTAATTCACTTGCTGTCTGACAGTGATGTGTCCTGTTCATTTCTCAGCAGGCCTACATCACATAATTTTCTTGCAGGACTTGGACGATTGGTAATCATTCAACCACGACATGTGAGGCTTTGAATAAGACATGGACATTTCCACTAATTATTTCATAATCAAGATTTATAGAAGTTATGCTCCAACAAAAAAGTATTGTTGGAAGCTTACTCATTTAAGTCATGCATTGGCATAAATTGCTGAATCTTTTTAGCCATTTTGCAGAATAATGGGTCACAATATCCATGTGGCATCAGAACGACCATGCAATAAGTCAGGCCTGCCAACAGGATCTGGGGTAGGAGTGGGTAGAGGGGGCACTGAGACAATCTTGCCCTTCCTCCTAGGGCGTAAAGTAGGCCGATGTTGGTCATTCTAAGCTTATGGTGACTCAAGGAAGGTTTAGCGAGTTACATGGTCGTACTTGGAATGAAAATTGACTTAGTTTATTCTGTGTTCAGGAAACTCACAGGAAAGTGTTGGGAATGTTTCAAGCATGTTCTTCATGTTGATTCAAAGACATTTTTCTGGCCTTCAGTGATCACTTCCATGCAACTTAAAGAGGTGAAATCCAGTTCCATTCACTGTCGTTCAAATTATACCCCTTTTACCATTTTTTATCTATTTTTGATGTGAGGACCTCATATATATATATATATATATATAATATATATATATATATATATATAATATAGAGAGAGAGAGAGAGAGAGAGAGGAGAGAGAGAGAGAGGGAGAGAGAGAGAGAGAGAGAGAGAGAGAGAGAGAGAGAGAGTGAGTGATGAGTGAGAGAGTGAGAGGAACTTTGGAATGCATTGTCCTGTCATTTAGGTGACCTCAACTCTCTTCAAAATACCTGCATTTTCCTGAGTTTTGTTACAACAGATGATACTGTTACTCGCATGAATACTCTGGTTCATAGGCAACCTCAGTTCTTCAGTATCTGAATGGCCATTGGTAAACTGTATGATGCCATCAGCTATGAAAAACCTGTTTCATTTTGGTCTCACCGTCCCCTTCCTCTTGCTTTGTCATCCCCACCCATTCCTTCCAAATCTTCTGCTTGAATATATTACCTTTTCATCTTTTCATTACTACTACCATTACTATTATTATTATTATTGTTATTTGTTCTTATTGTTTTTTTACTGTTATTGATGTTATTATTTATTATTGTTGTTGTTGTTGTTATTGTTATTATTATTATTATTTCATTATTCATCATCATCATCGCCATTGTCTTCATCATCATCATCATCATCACCAACATCATTATCATCATTGTTCATTTTGCTGTTACTATCTTGATAGTAAGTATCAATATCAGTAATAGCATAATTATTTGCATTATTGCAAAATGAAAATAATACCAGTAATAAGAAGATTAATATGATGGTGACAAAAATGCAGTATTAACGTATTACTGATTAATACGATTGTTACAATCATTGTTCATATTTTATAATTATTGTTGTTATCATTGTTCTTTTTGTTAATCATGTTGTTCTAGTTATCAGTAGTAGTAGTAGTAGTAGTATTTCTTATAGTTATGACTAAAATAATGATAAGTATTATATGTATTATAATGATAATGATAACCTTTTTTCTTCTTTTTTTAAGGATATTAATGTGATTTAACATTATATGATAATGGTATAATGATGGATATGACCTCAAAATGATCTACACCAACCCCTCCCTCTCCTCTCTTATCTCTCTGTCTGCTCTTTTCTCCTTTCCCATGTCCCCTTTTCTTCTCTCTCTAGCTGAGAGGGGGGGGGGAGACTTGGATTCCCCCAAGGACCTCCATCGTCTAAAATTATTTGGTTGATTATTTATTTTGCAAGAATTCATGATGGGAATGTCAGAAATCATTTTTTGAGACCAACCTTGGAGGAGGTAATGTATTGCTGCCTCTTTTCACTCTGATCTTATTGGATAATAATGGATATAACTTCAAAATGATCTATAGACTCCTCTCTTCGCTATCCTCCTTCCTTCTCCTCCTCTCTCCTCTTCCTCCCCTCCATCTCCTCTCCTCTCTCTCTCTCTCTCTCTCTCTCTCTCTCTCTCTCTCCTCTCCTCTTCCTCTTCTCTTCTCTCTTTCTCTCTCTTTCTTCTCTCTCTCTTCTCCTCTTCCTCTTCATCGCTTCCTTTCTCTTCCTCCTCTCTCCTCCCTCTTTTCCCCCTCCCTCTCTCCTTCTCCTCCTCTTTCCTCCCCTCTCCTTCTCCTCCCTCTCTCTCCTCCTACTTCCCTCCCTTCTTCCCTCTCTCCTTCCTCCTCTCCCTCTCCTCTCTCTCTCCTCCTCCTCTTCTCTCCTCCTCCTCTTCTCTCTCCTCCTCTCCTCTCCTCCTCCTCCTCTTCCTCTCTCTCCTCCTCCTCTTCCTCTTCCTCCTCCTCCTCTCCTTCTCCTCCCTCCTCTTCCCCCTCCTCTTCCCCTCTCCTCCTCCTCTCCTCCTCCTCTTCCTCTTCCTCCTCTCTCCTCTTCCTCTCCTCCTCCTCCTCCTTCCTCTCTCCCTCTCCTCCTCTTCCTCTCTCCTCTCTCCTCCTCTTCTCCTCTCCTCCTCCTCTTCCTCTTCTCCTCTCCTCCTCTCTCTTCTCTTCTCCTCCTCCTCCTCTTCCTCTCCTCTCTCCTCCTCCTCCCCTCTCCTCCCTCTTCCTCTCCTCCTCCTCTTCCTCTCCCCTTCCTCCCTTCCTCTCCTCCTCCTCTTCCTCTTCCTCCTCCCTCCTCTTCCTCTCCTCCTCCTCCTCTTCCTTCTCCCTCCTCCTCTCCTCCTCTTCTCCTCCTCTCCTCCTCCTCTCTCTCTCCTCCTCTCTCTCTCTCCTCCTCCTCTCTCCTCCTCCTCCCCCTCCTCCTCCCTCTCTTCTCCTCTCTCTCCTCTTCCTCTTCCTCTCTCTTCCCTCTTCCTCTCCTCTCTCTCCTCTCCTCCTCTCCCTCCTCTCCTCCTCTTCCTCCTCTCCTCCTCCTCCCCTCCTCTTCCCTCTCTCCCTCTCCTCCCCCCTCCTTCCTCTCCTCCTCCTCTCCTCCTCTCCTCCTCTCCTCCTCTTCCTCTCTCTCCTCCTCTCCTCCTCCTCTTCCTTCCTCCTCCTCCTCCTCCTTCCCTCTTCCTCTCCTCCTCCTCCTTCTCTCCTCCTCCTCCTCTCTCCTCTCCTCCTCCTCTCTCTCCTCCTCCTCCTCTCCTCCTCTTCCCTCTCCTCCTCTCTCCTCCTCCTCCTCCTCTCCTCTCTCCTCCTCCCTTCCTCCTCCTCCTCCTCCTCCTCCTCCTCCTCTCCTCTCCTCCTCCTCCTCTCCTCTCCTCCTCTTCCTCTCCTCCTCCTCTTCCTCTCCTCCTCCTCCTCTCCTCTCCTCTCTCTCCTCTTCCTCCTCCTCCTTTCCTCTTCTCCTCCCTCCTCCTCCTCTCCTCTCCTCTCTCCTCTCCTCCTCTCCTCCTCTCCTCCTCCTCTCCTCCTCCTCTCCTCTCCTCTCCTCCTCTTCCTCCTCTCCTCCTCCTCTTCCTCTCCTCCTCCTCCTTCCTCTCCTTCCTCTTCTCCTCTCCTCCTCCTCCTCTTCCTCCTCCTCTCCTCTCCTCCTCTTCCTCTCCGCCTCCTCCTCCTCCTCTCCTCTTCCTCTCCTCCTCCTTCCTCCTCTTCTTCTTCTTCTTCTCCTCCTCTCCTCCTCTCCTCTTCTCCTCCCCCTCCCCCTCCTCCTCCTCTCCTCCTCCCCCTCCCCCTATCCTCCTCCTCCCCTCCTCCCTCCTCCTCCCCCTCCCCTATCCTCCCTCTCCTCCTCCCCTCCTCCCTCCCCCCCCTCCCCCTATCCTCCCTCCTCCTCCCCCTCCTATCCTCCCTCCTCCCCCCTCCCCCTATCCTCCCTCCTCCTCCCCCTCCCCCTATCCTCCCTCCTCCTCCCCCTCCCTATCCTCCCTCCTCCTCCCCCTCCCCCTATCCTCCCTCCTCCTCTCCCCTATCCTCCCTCCCCCTATCCTCCCTCCTCCTCCCCCTCCTCCCTCCTCCCTCCTCCTCCTCCCCTCTCCCCTCCCCTCCCCTCCTCCCTTTTATTTTAGGCTCTTTTCCATAGATGTAACCATTGATGGTCAAGCTTATATGTATATATATATTTTTTTTTTTTTTTTCCAGATTTTTTTGAATGATGAACAACAGAAGTACTCCAGCTGCTAGTTCGGATAGATCTCATGGAACTAGTGTGTACCATCAGCAATATACCACTCAGAACTTGCGTAACAGAAATCACTCATTTGGAGTGACATCTGATGATGTGTATCCAAGTACCAGTCAGAATAATTCAATTGGACCTGCCATTGCAAACTATCAGCCTCAATGGGGGAGAGACCCACGTAGGGCGGAACAGCGGAAAAGATTTTCAGCAAATACTCATGAAAACCAAAGGGAACAGTTATCAAACCTTGATTACCAAGAGAAGTGTCTTTTGTACGTCCAACAATATGCCAGTCAAATCATGCCTTGCATAAATAAGTCACTTGCATTGACACCATCTGCTCATAACATTCAAGATTTTGCCTATACAAGTACCAATCAAAATAGGCCATATGGAACTGCCACATCAAGCCCACTGCATCAGACAGACCGAGACCCATATAGGCTTCAACAATCGAATACTCGTCTAGCAAATGTTACTGAGAACCAGAGGGATCATTCTTTACTATATAAAAGCATGTTTGATGCACAAGGACATTTTGGTCAAGAGAGAGCACCTGCAGTCAATCCTGCATCAACTGAAAGGTGCATTACATTAGATGATGATCCCATTGCAATATTTGGAGCCTATTATATGCATAGTGATTGGTATAAAGCATCATGTCAACCCTCACCTTATTCAGATTTAGTAAGGAAATTATTCACTGAATCAAAATCTGCGTCATCACAAACAGGGAAAATAATCATTCCAACAAAATACAAGAGTATATTTGATGATGATGATCTTCAGCCTTTCTTTCCAAGGCATCCAGAGGATTCAGATCATCGTGTAATACCTGAAAATTGTGAGGATGCTCAAGAGTATTCCAAAATTCGCCAACCACAGCAGGGGTGCTCTAGTGGAACTATCGCGAAGAAAAGACAGAAATTATCTCCAAAATGCTCAGATGACCAAATGGCAGTTAATGCTAGTTCCCTGTCTTCTTCACAACAACAAAAAGAAAAGGAAATTCATACTACACAGGCAACCTTTGAGAGCAGTGAAGACCAGGGTATGACCTCCAGGGTGCTCTTGCCCACCACAGAGATTGGGCAAGATATTGATATTCAAGGAGAGGAGTTAATCAAGACAGAACCTTTCTTGGAAGAAGATTTTGGTTTCCAAGTGAAAGAAGAGGTGCCATGGTGGTGAATTATTAAGATAATTTTCATTGCAATTGCATTAGTAATAATTAAAATTGTGTTTATTTCTTATCTTGTTCACATTTTTGTAATATTGAAAGAATTCTCTTTTCTATTTGATTTTGTATTGATAAGAAAGTGTGCTTTATGAGTTGCAATTATTTTTGTAAAGGTAATTCTAATTAGATGACTTGGAAATACTGTACATAAGTCCTGTGCCATATTTGTAGTTAACTTGCATCATAATTCATTGTTTCACATCAAAAATTCATTAGAATATGGAAATATAAATATGGAAATCATTTATTTTGCATTTAAAAAAGAGTCAGTCAAATTTCATTTATTAGGTTTAGTTTGGAAAGAAAGTAAGAGATGTACAGAGATGTAGCTTGATGTCTTAGAATGCTGCTTCCCCCTCAAAAAAAGTTTTGGTCAAAGATCCACTATGATGGGTCACAATCAATGTTTTTTTTTTTTCCTTAGTCATTAATTTCATGTATAGCAATTTCCCTCTGTTTCATATTTCTTATATGAAATCCAGAGCAGTTACCTCCCCTGGCTTTTTTGCATGATAAGAAAGTTTTCTTGAAAAACTTGCAAGAGGAATGATAATTATGCACATTAGAAATACAATGATTAACTCTGTTCTGCTTCATATTTGTATTTGATTTGCATTAGCATTTATTTTTTGCATTGATCTTCGTTACATTTAAAGAAGGCTTGCCATAATGGGGAATAAGTCTCGATATTTACTTTGTAATTCTGTCTACAGAGATGAATTTAATTTATTGGTATTTTTTAGTTTTTCAAATAATACCTGTAAAAATACCACTATGTGTTTGTCTTCCTCTGTCTGTCAGTCAGTCTCTCTCTCTCTCTCTCTCTCTCTCTCTCTCTCTCTCTCTCTCTCTCTCTCTCTCTCTCTCTCTCTCTCTCTCTCTCTCTCTCTCTCTCTCTCTCTCTCTCTTTTTGAAAGTATCTTTTGTTAAATCTATTGAAAAAACATGATACCAAACATGGGAGTTTATCTAACATTAACTTCTATACAAAAAGATGTCCAGTAACAATCTTATTTGCCTCATCTCTCTCTCCTCTCACACACACACACACACACACACACACACACACACCACACACACACACACACACACACACACACACACACACACACACACACACACACACACACACATTTATTATTTATTTATTATATTATATATATATATATATATATATATATAAATATATATATATATATATATATATATATATATATATATATATATATATATATATATATATATATATATATATATATATATATATGTGTGTGTGTGTGTGTGTGTGTGTGTGTGTGTGTGTGGGTGTGTGTGTGTGTGTGTGTATATTTATGTATGTATGTATATAAAAGGGATAGCAAGGACCTAAAAAACTACCGATCCATAAGCCTACTTTCAGTTACTTACAAACTGTTCACGTAAGTTATCTGAGGTCGCCTTTCCGACAGTCTGGATTCTCGTGTGACCAGCCAAGAGAACAGGCAGGCAGTGGATTCTCAACAAGCGACCACATCCACACACTCACCCAAATTAGAGAAAAAACAACAACAACCGGAGATAGGGAGTAGAGGTATGTTGTAAAATATTGGGAGATATATACGAGAATGGGACAGCAACCATCAAGCTCCACACGGAAAACCGATGAAATGCCAGTTAAAAAAAAGTGCTAGACAGGGCGACACCATCTATCCAATGCTGGGGATCTCTCCTCAGCTCTCAACTCGACTAATTTTGCATGGACTTTTCTCCCTCCTGCTCTTTCATTTCCGTCCCTTCCTCAACCTCTTTTACCATCCACTTCCTTTACTCCTTAGACACCAGTCTCCTCTCCCCCCCCTCGGAAGAAAACCTCACAAAACGCTCCAACCAACTCCACTACAGAAACTCGGGAAGATATTTAAAACTATCTGCTCGAGTCACAAAATGACGCCGAAAACCCTCATCCACCCTCAAATTCCACATCTGCTCCCTCCACATTCAAAGTGACTGCCGATATCCATCCTCCTCCTACTCATATTCCCCCTACACCCCTCCCTCTTACTCCCACCCAACACAACCCATGCCCTTCAACTCCAACCACTGCCGATATCCATCCTCCTCCTACTCCTATCCCTCCTACTCCCTCCCAACACAACCTATCCCCATCAACTCCAACTACTGCCGATATCCATCCTCCTACTCAACACCCCTCCCTCCTACTCCCTCCCAACAAAACCCATCCCCCTCAACTCCCTACTGCCTCCATCCTCCTCCTACTCCCTCCAACACAACCTATCCCCCTCAACCCAATTACTGCCATATCCATCCTCCTACTCAACATTCCTCCTACTCCCTCCCAACACAACCCATCCCCCTCAACTCCAACTACTGCCGATATCCATCCTCCTCCTACTCGCTTCCAACATAACCCATCCCCCTCAGCTCCAACTACACCTACATTAACCCTCCCTCCATCCCCTCTATCCCTTTCACTCCCTCCTGGATACACACGTTAATCCTTAATCTCACAACTATGCCCTTCCTCAGACCCTCCACCTCCTGATGCTACATTCACCCCCTCTAATTCCTTATCTTACCCTCTAGCTCCTTTCCCCTCAAATTCTCCATCACTGTAACCGTTACCACTCGTAGAACAACTAAGTTATAGTTATTCTACATTGGAATATTTACGGTTTCCGTTCTCACAGACCTGACCTTCGTCATACATTTCTTCTTATAATCCATCTATTATTTGCCACCAAGAGACTTTTCTTACACATCTTCCTATTCCAATCCCCAACTACCATTCTGTCTCTTCCTCGCACTCCCTTAATGTCTCGTCTATACTTATCCATCAGAAAACACCTTATGTCATACCTCCCCTTCAAACCATTGCCCCGTGCAGTTATTCACATCTTTCTTCGCCGCTGACTCACAGTGATTTCAGTCTACTTCTCCCCTTCCCATCCCATTGACTTTGTTGTCTTTGAAACTATTTCCCAACTCCAGCTACCTATCCTCGTAGTTGGTGATTTTAACTGCCGCCACACCTTTAAGGGTGATTCTATCACCACCTCTCGTGACCGATCCCCATAACGCTTCCTCTCTACAAATGACATTATTCTTAATTCAGATCGCCCAAACACTTAGACATACGCCGAATTTTTTTCTCATGCCTTGACCTCTCTCTCTTACTCCCCCCTTTCTCCCACTTACATTTCCAATGGCTAATTCTAGATCACCACTTTCCCTACTATAGTGACCACTTTCCAGTCCTTTTCTCCCACCATATCTACATCCTCCCCTAATCCCCCCTGCTGTGTCCTTGATAGAGCTGACTGGCGTATTTTCACTTCACTCCCTACTATTCCTACCCCTCCATCCCCCTTTCGTCCATTTCAGATAGCTGACAACGTTTCACGGCTACAGTCCTAAGAGCTGCCTATACAGCCATTCCTCGAACCTCAAGACTTTATATACCCCCAAGTGTGTTCCATGGTGGAATTCTGATTGCACCAAACCGCTTGTTTGGTCTGGAACAGTTATCGCTACAAACGAGGCACCCCTATTCAGGTACCAGCCCTCATCTCCTTTAAAAGAGCATCTGCCTGTCTTCGTCATACAGCAAAACAAATAGCTGGTGAAATTGTTACCTCAATTACACCTGCATCTGTTTCAGCTGTTTGGCGTCGGATCCATAAACTATCAGGCAAACATTCCCCCCATCCAGCCCCCGCCCTTACATTCGAGATACTCTTGTCTCTAATGCTCTCTAAGTCGCTAATGAGTAATTATTTCAGCCAGGTCAATGCTGGCTCTCACCTTTCCCCACACTTTTCTTCCATTAAAGCCATCAACGAACGTACCCCCATCATCTTGACCCTATCCTCTGCTGAGTCATTTAATGCTTTTTCTTCCTCTGAACTCAGTCTGCCTTATGGTCGTGCTGCAACACTCATGAAGGCCCGACACCTCCCATCTTCCTCTCTATCCTTCCTATTATCTATTTTCAACCACATATGGACATTAGGAAATTTTCCTTCTCATTGGCGAGAAGCTTACCACCCCATCGCTCTATCTGGCTGCTTGTGAAAGCTACTAGGTTAACTTCCGCTTCATATTCATTTCGAGACATTGTTACATCTGCAGCTGCACGCCATGAATCCGTACTAGCCATATTCTTTGACCCAGAAAAAAAAAAGATACCACATGGCGGTACTATATTCTCCAACAATTATCCTCCCTAGGCATGTGTGTCTTCAAAAAGTCTTTCCTCTCCAAACGCACTTTCCAGGTCAACATTGTTTCCACATCATCCTTTCCTCAGTTCAAAGGCGTCCCACAAGGCAGTGTGCTCAGCACCGCTTTATTCCTTGCCATTAATGACATTGTCTCAGTTCTACCACCGGGAGCCCTGGCCTCTGGCACATCCATCCCCGCCAATTCATTCAGGTTGCAATATCATATCTTCCTGGGCCACTAACCATGGCTTTCGCTTTTCTATCTCCATATCTTTCTCCATCCTTTTCCTCTCGCTCACGTGTAGATCCCAACCTCCACTCTTCTTATATGGAGTTCTACTCGAATACCGTCCTCTGATAAATTCCTTGGCGTTTTTATTATTATTATTATTATTATTATTGTCTTGGCGAGACCATATCTATTACTTTAAAGAAAAAGATGTCACGTTCTGATCCACCCCTTTGTAATGTCCTTTTAGTTCCACACATTCTGTTGTCCTGTCCACGCTTTGCTGTGACCCGTACCTCTACTTTCCCCCGCCTATCCTCCCAACCTGTCAGACATCCTTACAGAATCCCTCACTTTCTGCTTCGACAACCTGTTCTTCTTCCTGAGACGCATACATATCCTTCACTTGACCTAACCCTACATTAACCCATTCACTCATCAACTCCTTTGCCCATCTTTAACCTTTTCAATATTACTCTAGATAGTTGATACATACCAACTATCTACTAACTCAACCACCCTACACTACCCTCTACTGTACCTTCCTATACTGCTACATGACCTTAGATGTCTAGCACATTTATTTTGCGTTTATCCATTACCCATTAACCATTAACCATTCCCAACAGATGAAAAGATCGATAGATGAGACAGAGATTAAAGAAAAGGATTAAAGTAGTTTTTCACATTCAGTATCCTTATAAAAACGTCCTTTTTTCTTAAATAGCAAAAACTATTTGTTTACATGCAGTGAGGAATTTCAGAGCTATGTGGAGATATTTCAAGTAAATTCTGAATGAATGTTCATGTTAAATCATCAGCGGGTGTACTTTAAATAGTAATTACTATTTGGAAGTCGTTCCGTCGTGCATGAAGATTGAATTTTAAGATTGAATTAATCTGATGATAGTGTTGGTGAAATTATCTTGACTATAAAGATGGTAATAATATACTTAATGGCGATGAGGATGATAATGACGATGCTGATCTAAGTAAAACTAATATGCGAATGGCATCAATAATATCATGGTAAAAGTAACGGAAATGAAAGTTATAACGATAATATAGCAAAAATGATGTAACATTGGCAGTAATAATGGTGATTATAACCACCATCACAAAAACAGTATTAAGTAGCAGCAGAAACAACAGTATTAATAATAGTGACATTATTAGTAACAGGAGTAATAGTAGTAGTAGTTGCACTAGTAGTATTATCAGTAGCAGTAGTTGTAGCATTAGTAATTGTAGTAATAGTAGTGGTCTCACTAGTAGTAGTAGTCGTAGTAGTATTAGCAGTAGCTTCTAGAATAGTGGTAAAGTACTAGTAGCAGTCGAACTGGCTAACCCCCCACAAAGTAGATGGTAGTAATATTGCTATGGTAGTAATCTGCATCTTAATAATAGATAAGACAAAAAGCACACCCCATTTTTAGAGAGCTCCCGCCAAAAACCTACCCCTAGATACTGACAAACCAGCTAAGTAGTAACTAGGCCCGCCCCATAGTCAGA